CGGGGCCGGGCGGTAGGGGGCGGGGCAGGCCGGGCCGGAGGGGCGGGGCTAGTTAGGCGGTGCCAGGAGGCGGAGCGGGGGCCAAGCCGGAGGGGGCGGGGCTGGGCAGCCTCGTACCAGGATGTAGGGGGCGGGGCTGAGCAGCCCGTACCGGGATGCCGGGGGCGACTCCGGCCCGGCAGGTGGCGGAGGAGGCTCCGCCTCCCGCGCAGGCGGCTCCGCCGAGCCCACGTAGCGCTGGCGCTGCCCGGCCCTGGAGGCGGTGAGGTGTTCCGGGGCGCTCCACTTGCCGCGCAGCCATGAGCTTCAATCGCACGGAGAGCGACTGGCAGGGGCTGGTGGGCGAGGTGAGGCGGCCTCGGCGGGGGGCCGGGCCGGGGGAGCGGTCCGGGGCCCCGGAGGGAGCAACTGCCGGCGCCTGGCCTCGGCGCTGTGCTCCGCGGGGGGATCCCGACCGGTGCCCGTGCGGGGCGGGGGGAAGGGAACCCGCCCGCGAGCGCTGCAGGGGGGCAAAGCCGGGAGCTCTGAGCAGGCCTGGACGTGGGCCGGCGTCAGGCGATGCTGGCTCCCGCCCCCGGTGAGCCGAATGGTTCCGGCCCCGAGCTGAGCCGGTTCCAAAGGAATAGCCTGGAGTGCAGCAGGCAGCGCCGCAGGTGCTGCAGTAACAGCTAGTGGAGCGGAGCCTGGGTGTTGCTCGTATTCCTGATCCTAATGGGTGTGTGCCACCACGTGACAGCCAGCCCCAGGATTGCTGATCCTTGGCCTTTGGTTTGCACCTTCTTTCCCAAAGCACTTCAAAGCTAGAAACCGTCCGGTGCGGACCCAAAACACTGCAGTGACCATGTATGGACTGCCGGACGTGGAGCCACGCCTGTAGAATAAGGAATGTGTTCCTTTCAATGACACTTCTTTTAAAAGTTTGTGATGACTTGGTTGGTGATAGCTTCTCAAGGTGGGCGCTCTACAGGCACAGGAAGGCAAGCTCCACAATGTTTAAGTCATTTGGCTGGCTTGTGGATGTTCCTTGCCCCCTCACTCTTCATGTGTAACTGCTAGGCATCCTTCAGAAGTTTATACAATGTGAAACTTCATGGTGCACTGCCTCCTATCCGGTGTGTGTCGCATGTTAAACATTGGCACTGGATAGCACAGCTGTAAATGACATTGTCACAAGTTGCTTTGGGCCCAAACTTTAAATTTGTTTTTCCTTGCATAAACCAACTTCCTGATTACTACCAGAAGGCAGTTCTTACTTAGGTACCGATCCTGTAATTGCCAGTCAAAGAGTCATAGGGGTTCACCTGTGCACAGATCGAATTGCAGCATTGGGATCCTAGGCCTTAAATTGCTTTAAGCTTTTAGATAGTGTCAACAGAAAACAAAGGTGGAGAGTGGATTGCACTTGAACATAAGCATGCTGTTGTAGCCAATAGTATGTATACACAGCTTTGTTCATGTTTGAGACAAAATAGACTCTAGTTTTTGTTCTAATCTTATTGCAAATGCAAGGCTTTAGACATCAACTTTAGAAGAATTGGGCACTTAAGTTGTGCAAAACCGTCTTTACGGTAGACAAAGATTTGGGCCTGTAGCCTCAATAGGTAGAAGTAACAATTCAATATTAAATGAGAAATATTATTTCTGTTTTACATGCCTTATACAAACCTCTGAACTATCTACACTTAACAGCCTGTTACTTTTTTTTTTTTTTTTAAACAATTGGTAACACATGCACAAACCCAAAACTAGCAGGCAACCACATAGACATCAACTTGAAATGTATTTAGGTTCTAGCAAGTGAGTTAAAAGTAGTATCAGGTAGTACACTGCCACTGTATCATGCCCACAACCTTTGCTGTTTTACAAGCACATTTTCCTGTTTACAAAAACAAAAAACTCTTCTCTCTCCTGCTGCTGTTTGAAAGTTCCCAATCTTACAATATGATTCATGTGGGTGAACCCACTGATTTCACTGGGGCTCTGCATGCATAACATTGCAAGATTGTGGTCTAAGGCCCTAATCTTGCAAGCAATACTCCAACACACAGCCATGAAGCTGTGACAACTTCCAGTGACATCAGTGGGAATTTGTGTGAGCATGGGGATCTATGCTAATTAAGCTACTTCCAGGATTGGGGTCTGTCAGCGCACACAATGCTGTGTCAAATACACAATAAGCTGGAAGACTGAAATATGCATTTTCTCAATTCTTCTGGTTTTTATACAGTATGAAGTATCAGGACAGAATTTTTCTCATCAGTCTTGGGGGAACATGGGGGATGGGGACAGAAAGGGTTTTTTTTAAATTATGGTGGAGGGAAATGTCCCTGGACTTCTTAAAAACACTCATGACTTTATTTTGCTCATCAGACCTCCAAAATATTTTAGCCTACAAACTGCAAGGGCTCTGATCCTGAAATTAAACCCATGTGGATGAGCCCTTGTGCCCATGCAGAGCCTCATTGATCATACCAAGTTTAGGCTATGGTTAGGGCCCTACCAAATTCACGGCCATAAAACGTCATGGACCGTGAAATCTGGTCTCCCCCGTGAAATCTGGTCTTTTGTGTACTTTTAACCTATACTATACAGATTTCACAGGAGAGACCAGCATTTCTCAAACTCGGGGTTCCAGCCCAAAAGGGAGTCGTGGTGGGGGAGGCACAAGGTGATTGTAGAGGGGTCATGATATTGCCACCCTTACTTCTGTGCTCCCTTCAGAGCTGGGTAGTTGGAGAGTGGCGGCTGCTAGGCAGGGCCCAGCTCTGAAGGCTGCAGCACAAAGTAAGGGTGGCACTACCATATCATGCCATCCTTACTGCTGTGTTGCTGCTGGCAGTGGCGCTGCCTTCAGACTTGGAAGATCAAGATTCAGTTTGCAGTTCTATCACAGATTTCCTGTGAACTTAGGCAAGTCACTTAAGCCTTTTGTTCACAAAAGTTCCTCTGGTTTAACTAAAACGAGTTTAAAAATCAGTTTACTTAAATCAGTACAAAACCGTGTGTGTACTGTCTTAAATTGATTTAAACTTGGCTTATATTAGGTGAAATTGCAAAGGATGAATATAAACAAATAAGTATGTAGGGACAAAATTAGAAAAGCCAAGGCACAAAACGAGAATAAAATAGCTAGAGATATAAAGAGTAACAAGAAAACATTCTACAAATACATTAGAAGCAAGAGGAAGACCAAGGACATGGTAGGTCCACTATTCAGTGAAGGGGGGAAAAAACAATAACAGAAAATGTGGAAATGGCAGAAATGTTAAATGATTTTTGTTTGTTTCAGTTTTCACCAAAAAGGTTAGTAGCGATAGGAAGTCTAACATACTGAATGCCACTGAAAATGAGGTAGGATTAGAGGCTAAAATAGGGAAAGAACAAGTTAAAAATACTTAGACAAGTTAGATGTCTTTAGGTCACCAGGGCCTGATGAAATACATCCTAGAATACTCAAGGAGCTGACTGAGGAGATATCTGAGCCATTAGCAATTATCTTTGAAAAGTCATGGAAGAGATTCCAGAGGACTGGAAAAGGGCAAATATAGTGCCAATCTATAAAAAGGGGTATAAGGACAGCCTGGGGAATTACAGACCAGTGAGCTTGGAAAAATAATGGAGCAAATAATTAAGCAATCAGTTTGCGAACACCTACAAGATAATAAGGTGATAAGTAACAGCTAGCTTTCTTTGACAGTGTAACAAGTCTGGTGGATGGTGGGGAAGCAGTATACAGTATGTAGTATATCTTGACTTTAGTAAGGCTTTTGATACTGTCTTGTATGACCGTCTCATAAATAAACTACGGAAATACAATCTAGATGGAACTACTATAAGGAGGGTGTATAACTGGGTTGAAAACTGTTCCAAGAAAGTCGTTCTCAGTGGTTCACAGTCAAGCTGGATGGGCATAATGAGTGGAGTCCCAAAAGGGTCGGTTCTGGGTCTAGTTCTGTTCAGTATCTTCATCAATGATTTAAATAATGGCATAGAGAATAGACTTATAAAGTTTGCAGACGATACCAACCTGGGAGTGGTTGCAAGTTCTTTGCAGGATAGGATTAAAATTCAAAGTGATCTGGACAAACTGGAGAAATGGTCTGAAGTAAATAGGATGAAATTCAATAAGGACAAATGCAAAGTACTCCACTTGGGAAAGAATAATCAGTTGTATACATACAAAATGGGTAATGACTGCCTAGGAAGGAGTACTGCAGAAAAAGGTCTGGGGGTCATTGTGGATCACAAGCTAAATATGAGTGAACTATGTAACACAAAAAAAGCAAACGTCATTCTCGGATGTATTAGCAGGAGTGTTGTAAGCAAAATACGAGAAGTAATTCTTCTGCTCTGTGCTGATTAGACCTCATTGGAGTATTGTGTCCCGTTCTGAATGCCACATCTCAGGAAAGATGTGGACAAATTGGAGAAAGTCCAGAGAAGAGCAACAAAAATGATTAAAGGTAAAACATGCCCTATAAGGGAAGATTGAAGAAATTGGTTTTCTTTAGTCTGGAGAAGAAAAGACTAAGGAGGGACATAACCGTTTTCAAATACATAAAATGTTGTTACGAGGAGGAGGGAGAAAAATTATTCTCCTTAACCTCTGAGGATAGGACAAGAAGTAATGGGCTTAAATTGCACCAAGGGTGGTTTAGGTTGGACATGAGGAAAAACTTCCTAACTGTCAGGGTGGTTACCGCACTGGCTGCCACATTTCTTGGGCAGTACAGACAGTTGGATACTGGGGAAGCAAGAGGGGTGAAAGAGGTGAATACTGTATCTCTATAGTCCAGAACAGGAAAAAAGTATCCAATGGGTACCACAAGAAGGCTGAACATGGGTAATAAGATCTGACGCAAAGACTGTAAATCCCTTAAGGGCTTGTCTACATTACAAAATATGCTCTTTGAATATGACTTTGAAAAATGAAATCAAATTACATGATGCTGACCTCTGGTTAAGGCAATGTAGACTAGGACAAATAGTGTTCAGTGATTCAAGTAACTGTGACTAAACTCTGATCCACAGTGAGCCTATAGAACCCCTACCTCGTGTACTCCATCAGCTGGAAAGCGTATAGCAGGGATCGGCAACCTTTGGCATGCGGCCCTTCAGGGAAATCCGCTGGCGGGCCGGGACGGTTTGTTTACCTGCAGCGTCCGCCGGTTCGGCCAATTGCAGCTCCCACTGGCTGTGGTTTGTGGTTCCAGGCCAATGGGGGCTGCGGGAATTGGTGTGTGGGCCGAGGGATGTGCTGGGCGCTGCTTCCCACAGTCCCCATTGGCCTGGAACGGCAAACCACGGCAAGTGGGAGCTGCGATTGGCCGAACCTGCGGATGCTGCA